ATCAGTTTTTGTTTTCACTCTCTGATTTTTCTTTTAGTATAATACTATAGATAGATTTATTTTGGTAAATGAATATCAAATATCTTGTCTGTATTATGGGTGGGAGGGTTGGGTAGAGTGGTTAAGAGATTAGGATGGGGGATGATTACTACCAGGAGGTCGAAAGTTCGATTCTCACCGGGGCATCCAATTTTTTTTTTTAAAAAATAACCTTGCCTGTATTATTATCAACCTTTTAGTGGTATAAAAGGGTACTAGTAAAACATGGTAAAATTAATATTACACAAATTCATAATTTTGAGTAAAATAAATTTATAAATTAATAAAACTTGTGGGCCCCGAAAAGAACAACCCAAGAAAAAGCATAACTAGGGGCTTTCAAAAAAAAAAAAAAAAGAAAAAAGAAAAGACCTTATCACTTTATCAGCTTAATTTTCAGGCCTGTTATCCAAGCTGGGAGTGAAGAAGTTTCTTCCCTTATCAGCTTGCAGAGGGGATGCACAAGTTAGTGATCAAAGTTAAGTTAGTGATCAAAGTTGATGTTTTAAGTTTGCTGTATAATGCTGTAAAATGCTGCTGTTATAGTTGATAAATAACAGCTCTCATTGATTAGTCAGATTAGGCAGTTAATTCTGGTTAATTAGTAAAGTCGGTTAAAAAGACTTCTAGAAGAAGCAACTGTATAAATACGCAGAGAACAGTACAATACGTCTCAATTTGATGAAATGCAGATTTGATTCCCAAAGGGTAGCAAATACAAAAGAGGACCTGGCTCAATCAAGGTATTCCTGCCAAGGGAAAGCGGGAAAAAAGAACTATAGTCTGTATGTATTTTTCTATATTTTAGTAAAAAAGCAACCACCATATTTCCATATCAAGAATCAAACCCTAGGCAGGGATATGCTTCGGCCCAGAAAACTATCTATTGTTGAATTGATCTTCCTGAATAAATTATAAAATGTCCTAATAATTCCCTTAATGAGCCACCTGAAATAATTTGCTACAATCATGTCAACTAATCATCAAAATGTGTCAACACCCTCGACAGTTGGCAATATAATTTCAATAGAGTTTAAGCTTTCTTCCACTTTCTGTTTTAACAGAATCTGCACCCTGAGTTTCTCCGGATTTTTTCAACTTTTAGTAAATTAAAAGTGCACAGTGGAATTCTATGCCCGTTTCCATGCAGCTTTCACTATACAAATGAAACACATAATGAATAATCATATATGAGGTATTTCAGGATTCTTTTCAAAGAGGTAGAGATGCTCGGATCATCTTCGACGGCTCCTTTAGCCATCAATCCGGAAAGGCAGCTGGGGGTTGGAAAATTATATCACCTCCTAATGTGATATTGCAAATCAAGACAGTTGACCCTAATCTCCTATCATGTTCCAAGCAGAGGCAATGACTTATCTTCTGGCCTTGCATGCAGAGGCATATCCGAATTTATACGAATTGTGAATCTCTCACACAAGAGGTCGTTTCACTGTTAATTACTATGATTTCATCCTTTAATTCTTGCACATTGAGTAAAGTAAGTAGGCAAGAGGTTTTAGAAATGCATAATCTAGCATTCAATAGAATGTGGTGTAATAATCTAGGTATCTTGAATTTACATTAATACAAGTACCATTTTCAAAAAAAAAGAAACAAAATGAAAGAAGAAGGGAACTGGCCGGGTATGAAGTGTATCAATCCCATACTCTATGCACCATTCTTTGCAAGGAATTACTCATGAGAAAGTTGCGCATCACCAGTGTGACAATCCCTCAAGCTGGAACGATCCACCATAGTAAGCCACCCGACAGCAATACATAATTCACCACACTCTACTGTAACTAACCGATCACTACCAAAGGTTATTCCTTACAACCTTACGTTATGACCCACAGTTTAAGGAATGTTTTAACTAAATTAGTAAAATTGTATGTACCACATGAATGTGCCAAATTACTTACCTGCTATGTAATTACCTAAGCCTACATATTCGTACTGTAACATTATTTTTCTCTAGCATCATTTACCAATTCTATAAAGTTCTTTAGATTTGTGTCACAATCATGAAGATGTTCCCCAGGAAACCAGCATAACTTACCTTATAGATTATAGACAGACAATATGAAGAAACAATCAACTTATACGTTTTGGAGAAACTCAAGATTCCATCGAAATTAATGGATAGAGGCAATTAACTTAGCTAACATTAAATTTACTGAAGCATGGCAGTTAGAGAGAGAGAGAGGGTACCAGGAACCATATCTTCTAAGCTTAGGATTCTAATTAGACAACTAGCCTCCTTATGCAGTTGTGGAGCAGCTTCCAAGAGACCAAAAAGATACTTGGCACTAAAAGAAGATGACAATGCATAGACACCAATAAGCTACATGAATGCAAGGACCTCCCAAGAATTTGAATTTGACAAGTTTGATTTCCATCCATTGGCAACATTTAAAGCTCTTTCCTTCACCCCTTGTGTAATATTTGGAGAGACATTCCTCAGTTGTTTTAACAAGTAGAACAAACTCTGAGAGACCAACTGGTAGATGTTATTCTTTCGGGAGTTGGAGAAATAGCAAAAATCTAAGGCATCCAAAACAAGCAGCGCTGGGTCTGATGAATAATGGATGAACTTAGGAGTTTGATGGTAATATATACCATGAGTTCCTGATTCTTTCTAGAAATTGCTAAATAAAGACTGGCCATTTTCTACAGACACAGCGGAAGCTACTGATAGAGTATCCAAAGTTGAACCTTCTGCGCCAATTTGTTGGATTTCTAAATGAGGATGGAATTTACCTACTAAAAAATGTGACAAATCAGATGGAAACTAATTAACTAATGACAAAAATATGAGTAGTAATCTCAAATGAATAAATTCGGATGCGTAATTACCAGAAATCATTTCTGAAATGCCTAGCGACTGACATAACCCTTGAAGAGATGCATCCCCCAAAACAATGTTGTACAAGTGTAGAAGTTCACCAGCATCAAATGTAGACATCAAGCCAAATCCACTTAAAAATAGCAGGAAAACCACCACCACCAATGGACTTTCCAATTGAGCTATTATGTCTGCCTTCCAACCCATGGCTATTGCCAGTGCGCTGTCCTTCACATCCACAGGAATAAGGGGTGAAATTCTCAGTAGTTGCTCCTGCAAAAAAATGCAACTCCTTGATCCTTGCTCCCACCGAGGGTAAGAGCTATAGAATCCTTCAACCACATCCAACACAAATTTTGCTGAATCATCCGAAATTTGGATAGCAAGGAAAGATAGCAAACTGATGATCAACCGAATGTACTTCAAGGAAAGATAGTAAACTTTTACCATTCATATTGGCAAGAGGTAAAGCGATAGCATTTGGAGGGTCTATGCCTGTGTTTGACCGTTCAGGATCAATCTTGAAGCTCTTCGAACACTTTGAAAGATTAGTAGACGGAATATTTCTGACTCCAACATCTTGTTGATCTTCAGCTGTAAAATTAATAATATCATTAATATACAGGCTTATCAAAAAAACAAAACATCAGATCCAGACCCAACAGAAATTTCTCTACCTATGACCTCTTTCATGTCTCCGTCTTTAGAAAGAACAGCAATATCAAAGCATTTCACTTGTACCTTCTTCCCCATAAGCAGCTGAATTTCAAGATCTTTAGGTGGATATTGCGATTCAAGATTATGGTCAACAAAACATCTGAGTACAGCTTCGAGAGTAGCTATTCTTTGGTCGAAATTATCACTCTACAAGCACAAAATAGAATGTTTGAAAAAATCGGCATCTACATCAAAATTGATTAGAGACGAAACAGAAGAACCCCAACAACTATGATTTTTGGTATTTCATGGGGGGGATTACCTTCCCAGTTTGTTCAAACTGTTTGAAATACCCTTTCAAGATTGTCACTGGTGGGAATGGATCAACAAGCTCAAAGGCAAATATCAACTCAATCGCCCGTAGAGTATCTTTTGTAACTTTCAGAAGATTCCGAATGACACCTAACCTCAAAAGTAAGACCTATCAAATTAGTTAATGAGCAAGCTTGACAAGAGAATGCGGAACTCATTTCATGAACAGTTTACAAAGAGCCAATCAATACCAAGAAATCTCATTACACTCAACTTCTCGATGTGGTTCATAAACAAACGTTTCATTTTATCATAAACAAACGCTTTAACTCCTTAATGTCATCTTCTAGCCAGTTCTTTTCAGACTGGCGTTGCGTCTTTTGGAACAGGCACTCCTTTAAACTCTTTTCTGCAAACTCAAGTGCCACTTGTTTAGCTTCCAAATTTTTCCCGACCATCATCTCAAGTTCTTTAAGATTCTTAATACTACATTCGGATTCCCACTTTTTCCACTCCAGTTCCTTATTTTCTTTCTCCAACAATTCCCTTTCCTCAATGTATTCTTTCTTTTTTCACTTCGAATTGCTTCTCCCTCGTGTCTAATTCTTTCACTCGCTGATGATAGAATGCTAATAGTTTATCAATCTCCTTTTCTTTCAAATCAAGATCCTGTCTAATCAGTCTCTCCTCATTTACCTTCATCTCAATTACCCTTTCCCTATCTGCCCTCAAAGAATCCTCCAATCCCTTAAAAGAAATCATCTTTTCTTCACGTTCCTTAAATTCCATCTCCCTATCATCAAGCTCATTTACTCTCTTCAAAACCCCATCTTCAATCAATTCAATCTCTTTCCTCCTCTCCTCAATTTGTTCCTTCTCCAATCCCACCTCCCTAACCCTCTCTTCAACCAACTTTTCCATAGCCACTAATTCATTCCTCTCAAGCTCCAATTTTTCAGAAACCCCTTTAATCAAAACCTCTCTCTTTTTCCCTCGATTCCCCAACCAATTTCTCCTTGCTCTCCTTCCATTCCTTCTCTTTTTCGGTTTTTCCCTCAATTCCTCAACAAATTTCTCCTTGCTCTCCTCCCATTCCTTCTCTTTAACTTCCAACCCCACAAGCCTCTTCTTCTCATCTCCGACAAACCGGACGCTCTCCTCAACTTGTTGCCTCAGTAATTTCAAATCTTCATAACTCCGCCTTACTGATTCTTCAACGGAGTTCAAGTTTTTCTCTCTGGACTCAAGTTCCAAGTAGCATTTCCGGAATTTCTTCTCCGTTGTCTCTGTTAGCAAAAAAACCCTTTAAGTTGTAAGGAAGAGGTTTTTAGGTGATAGGTTTAGAAAGTGAAAATGGAAGAGAAAGAAATTTTGGAAGAAAGGAAGCTTTACTACTTTATAGTAAAAGTAAATAAGGTGAAGTGCCTTAAGTTTTTAGCTTAAAATTTCTCACAACTCTCTACACACACTTACATTAAGGGTTAACTCCTATTTATAGGACTGCATGAAAAGTTCTACACTCTTTCAAGATTTTTCTACTCCTTCTAAATATCTACATATTTTATTCTAATATCTAGACTTTTCTTTACTAATATCTAGATATTTCTTCTAGATATTTTCCATAGATTATTCTGCATACTCTTGATATTTATCCAGAAAATTTCTAAAACTTTCTAAGATCTTCTTATCTAGACAATTCTTCATTGGACTTAGGCTTAGGATTAAATATAAAGATTCATGTTCCAAGTTAATAATTTGGATAACCCAATATTAATTGTACCAAATTAAATTTACTTACTAACACCCCCTATAAACTTGATTTGGTGACTCCAAGCATTATCCTCAATCTTGCAAAGTCTTCTCCTTTGAGTGGTTTGGTGAAAATGTCTGCAACTTGATCACGAGATCTTGTATGCTTCAACTCAACGATCTTCTTGGCCACACATTCCCTTATGAAGTGGTACCTTGTATCAATATGCTTGCTTCGATCATGGTAGACTGGATTCTTCGTCAGATCGATGGCTGACTTGTTGTCAACGTAGATCTCTGTCGCTTCTTCTTGTGGCATTCTCAACTCCTTCAACATGCTCTTGAGTCAGATAGCATGACATACACATGATACTGCTGCTACGTACTGGACCTCGCATGATGACAAGGTGACTATAGGTTGTTTCTTGGAAGCCCAAGTAAAGGCAGTGTTGCCAAGGAAGAATGCGAATCCACTAGTGCTTTTTCGTTCGCTCAAATCACCAAACCAGTCACTATCACTAAATCCTACAAGTTTGAAGTCTTCACATGAGGAATATAACAAGCCAAGATAAATAATACCTTTGATGTAGCGAAGTATCCTCTTGGCAGCCTTCAAGTGTGTTATAGTAGGTACTTCCATGAATTGACTGATAAGTCCCACAACAAAGAGGATATCAGGCCTTGTGCATGTTAAATAACGTAGGCTTCCAACAAGGCTCTTGAACTGAGTTGGATCTACAACATCTCCTTCATCATCTTTTGAGAGCTTTACTCCATATTCAATGGGGATGGCTATTGTCTTGCACTTCTCCAAACAAAATTTCTTAAGAACTTCCTTAGCGTATCTTTGTTGAGAGATGAAGATTCTATCATCCAATTGCTTGACCTCGATGCCAAGATAACAGGACATAAGTCATATATCAGTCATCTCAAACTCTTTAGTTATTGCCTTCGTGAAATCTTCGATCATGCTAGGCGAATTTCCTCTGAAGATGAGATCATCCAAGTACAAACAAACAAGCAACTTATCTCCATTGCTTGAAAACTTCACATAGAGTGCATGTTCACTTGGACATTTCTTGAAACCATTTTTCCTGAAAATAGTGATCGATTCTTGTATTCCAGGCTCTTGGTGCTTGTTTCAAATCATATGGAGCCTTTCTTAGCTTGAGAACTTTATTCTCATGGCCTTTAATCACTTATCCTTCTAGCTGCTCCACATACATTTCTTCTTCAAGAAAGCCATTTAAGAATGTAGACTTTACGTCCATTTGATGGATTTTCCATCTATTTTGGGCAGCGATAGAAATTACTAACCTGATAGTCTCCAAGCGAGCAACAGGAGCAAATACCTCTTCATAGTCAATGCCACGCCTCTGCTTGTAGCCTTTAGCGACAAGTCTTGCTTTGTACTTCTCAACTTCTCCTTTAGCATTGTTCTTTGCTTTGAACACCCACTTTACTCCAATTGCTTTGTGGCCTTTTGGAAGAGAGTCTAGCTCCCAAGTTTGATTCTTTTCTATGGATCTTATTTCCTCATCCATAGCGTGTCTCCACTTCTCGTTCCTTGCTGCCTCTTCGTAACCTAGAGGTTCACAGTCAGCATAAAGGCAGAAGAGTGTGAGAGCCTCTATGCATTCTGTTTTCTCATAGATCTCTTGTAGGCTTCTCATTCTTTGTGTCTCTTCATTCAAAGGTGAATGTGGACTTTGAGGTCGCTGAGTTTCTTCACCCGCATCACTACTTTCATCATCGTATTTGTGGATGATAGGAAGGAAGTCGTAGCTTTCACCACCTTCCATATTCCAATCACAGGTTCCTTTTTCATCAAACTCTATATCTCTACTCACAATAACTTTGTTCGTGGCTGGATTGTAGAGCTTATAACCTTTTGACTGTTTGTCATAGCCAATAAAAACATGCTTCTCGCTTCGATCATCAAGTTTGGACCCCTTTTGGCTTGGTAGGTGGGCATATGCTATACTCCCGAACACTCATAGGTGATTCATTGTGAGCTTTGCCCCATTCCATGCTTCTTATGGAGTCTTGTCTTCTAGACTCTTCGTGGAACATCGATTTAGTAGGTATACTACACAATAACTGCTTTAGCCCATAACTCCTTTGGCATTTTCTTGCTCTTTAGCATGCTACGAACCATATTGAGAATGGTTCTATTCTTCCTTTCGCAACTCTATTTTGTTGCAGAGAGTAAGGAGCGATAAGGAATCACCTAATCCCATGTTCTTCACAGAATTTGGTGAATTCACTTGATGTGAATCTTCACCTCTATCAGACTTTAAGGCTTTGATTTTCAAGCCTTTCTCCTTCTCCACCACAACCTTAAATGTCTTAAAGGCATCAAAGGCATGTGATTTCTCCTTCAAAAAATACCCCCAAGTCTTTCGAGAGAAATCATCAATAAATAGAATGAAGTAGGTGTTCTTACCATGGGATGGCGGAGAGATAGGACCACACAAGTCTGTATGGATGAGTTCTAAAGACTTCTTAGCTCTTGATGTTGCTTCTTTTGAGAAAGCACTCCTCGAATGCTTCCCAAGTAAGCATCCTCCACATACTTGATTGGGCTGATTGATAGGAGGTAATCCTTTCACCATGCATTTGGCAGATAACATTTTCAAGTCACCAAAATTTAAATGAGCATACCTCATGTGCCAAATCCACTAATCTTCCTTCAAGCATGCTTTCATGCAGTTCTCATGTTGAATGTTCAACAAGAACATTCTATTGCTTGTCATTGGCACAACGGTAACCAATTTTCCTTCTTGATCCTTGACTATGGCACTACGATCTTTCAAATGAATATCGTAGTTATTCTCCAAAAATTGTCCCAAACTCAAGATATTACACTTAAGACTTGGAACATAACAAACTTCTGAGATGTATTGGTGACTTCCATCTTTAGTAAGGAATAGTATCTTACCTTTGCCTTCAACCCTTGGTCTAGAATCATCTCCAAACATTAAGTACCCTTTGGCTGGTTCCATGTCTACGAACAACCTTTTTTCCCCAGTCATGTGGTTACTCGCAGCGGAGTCAAGATACCACATCTTCTTGTCTCCTTTGTCCTCATGTCTCGCCATTAAGAGAGTGAGTTGAACTTTATCTTTAACCTCCATAAGATTGGCTTTTTCGTTTACTTGACTAGAATTTCTACACTCACTTGCATAATGACCATATTCTTGGCAATTAAAGCATTGTATTCGAGATTTTCCTCCTTTCTAAAACTTCATACCTCTTCCACGACCTCTTGTAGATTGAGAGCCTTGGTTGTTGTCCTCTTTGGTGGATTGAACATAGCCTCCTCGTGCTCTTCCCCGTCCACGTCCTTGAAATCCACCATTATCTCATCCAAGGCCTCTGCCACGTCCAAAGCCTCCATCTCTTTCTTTGAAAGAGAGTTTTGTGTAGAGGGCTTCCTCCAAAGATTTCTTTGGGCCTCCTTTTCTTTAGTTTCTCTTCATGGGCTACTAAAGTAGCCATGAGTTGATCAATGGTCATAGAGTCAAGATCTTTTGACTCCTCTATCGCTACCACAATACAATCAAAGTTTGCTGTCAAAGAGCGAAGAATTTTTTCTATCACTCTTGTGTTACTCAAGCTTTCTCCATTCCTCTCCATTCCTCCATTTGTAAAGCTTCAAATTCTCCTTTAAGAGTTTGAAGACGTACCATTTTCACCTTCTCAATGCCTCTATTAGCATTCTCTAGAATCTCTCAAGCCTCCTTTGATGTAGAAGCATTTGCCACCTTCTTGAACATGGAATCATCTAGACATTGATGGATAAGTGAAAGAGCTTGTTGATCCTTTCTCCTTACTTTGTTGAGTTCCCCTTTGGGCAGGAGTCAAAGAAGCCTCATCTAGAGGTTTCTCATAATCTTTCTCAACAATCTCCCAAACCTCATGAGAGCCTAAGACCACCTTCATTCGAATGGACCACTTACCATAGTTTTCTTTGGTAAGTTGAGGGAATTGGAAAGAGATCATTCCATTTGCCATCTTACTTTAAAGCTGGATCAACACCAGCTCTGATACCAGTTTGGTAGCAAAAGAACCCTTTTGGTTATAAGGAAGAGATCTTTTAGGTAATAGGTTTAGGAAGTGAAAATGGAAGAGAAGGAAATTTTGGGACAAAGGGAGTTTTACTACTTTGTAGTAAAAGGAAGCAAGGTGGAGTGTGTTAAACTTTTAGCTTAAGGTTTCTCACAACTCTCTACACAAACTAACATTAGGGGCTTAACTCCTATTTATTAGGAGTGCATGGAAGGTTCTATAATCTTTCAAGATTTTTCTACTCCTTCTAAATATCTACATATTTTATTCTAATATCTAGACTTTTCTTTACTACTATCTAGATATTTCTTCTAAATATTTTTCATGGATTATTATACATACTCTTGATATTTATCTAGAACATTTCTAGAACTTTGTAATATCTTCTTATCTAGACAATTCTTCATTGGACTTGGGCTTAGGATTAAACATAAAGATTCATGGTCCAAGTTAATAATTTAGATAACCCAATATTAATTGGACCAAATTAAGTTTACTTACTAACAGTCTCCACATACTCTTCATAATCCTTGTAACTGCTCAGAACGGCGAAGATTGATTTTTCGAAGGCATTCCTATTGGCCTCACTGGATTCAAGGGTTGCCAAAATCTCTTCCAAGAACCCCATTACCCCAGTTTCTTGCATGTGCTGCTTGAGTTTAGAGTTTGCAGTTTTGAATCCAAATAATTGTTCAAAGATTGTTTGTCACTTGTAGAAATGAAGATTCTGAACAAGATTATGGAACTCCAGATCAAAATCCCCGGGGAGGAGACCGAACTGTTTCCATGGAGAGAGCGGCAGTAAAGTAGAGTACGATGATCAGAAAATTCAAAACAGCGTTGATGCTGGAAAGGTTTTTTTCTAGGCCCAAATCGCTGGGCTTTTAAACAATGAAGAATGCCTACTCTATTTTTGGTAAATTAGGGGTTTAATAGAAAAAAGATTTATGATTGATTTGGTAATTTGATATTTTGTCTAGATAAGATTTTCCATTTGTAATTTAAGTGAGTATAAGAAAATAGGGGCAATTTTGCCAGAATAATTTCCAGCATCCAGGACAATTTTTAACCTTTCTTCTACTTTTGCCCATGATGAAGTCAAACACACTAAATCTTCCTCACCGCTTATCTCTCACTTATTTCCTTTATTAAAAATTTTATTCTCTCTCCTCTCCCTCCAAACATCGTTCTGTTTTCCGGGGGAGTTTTACCCCCTCCCCCCTCACCGACCACTCAGCGCAATCAGACAACAAAGTACAAATCCCTTCCCTCACCAGTCCGCGCGAGTCTTGCACCAGCGGCGACATGGGGAAAATAATCAAAGGTAGACCATGAACGGGTTTAGAAGGAGGAAGGGAAATTTTGGAGGGAGAGACTCTTCATAATTTTGGAGGGAAATTGATCACCGGATAAGTGAGTAAGTGTTGATAGAGGGAGGAAGGGAATAAAACGATTAATTGGGGAGAGATATGCGGCGAGGAAGATTAAGTGGGTTTGACTTCATGATGGGCAAAAGTGGAAGAAAAGTAAAAAATTGTGTTGGATGCTAGAAATTGTTCTGGCAAAATTGCCCTCCATAAGAAAATGGGTTCATTCGTAAACTTTTGAAAACCAGGTTATTTTTTTTTTCTTTTGTCACTCAGAATAAAAATAAATAATGTTACACCCGGATAAGAGAAGATGGATAAAATGGTTTTGTTTCCACTTCGGGGGTGTTACACTCTTATCTTTCTAATTACGGTGACATGACATAAACACTCGGTTTGTCTTCATACGTTAGTTTATTTTTCAGATGTATATGTTTTCAAACATTTGCCAAAGTTGACTGTTTTTATAGAATAAAACATATATATGTTCCAACACAACAGGTTTTTATTATTTGCTTAATCACAATTAAAATAGTACTGTAAAATATATGCATGCCAAATCGTTGTGCATATAGCCATCAATACAAAATAATGATGATGATGATGATGATGATGATGATGATGGGTACTGATAGCTTCAAGTTCAGCAAAATATCCCTCTGTTTCATATATTAGTAAAAATATAGAGGGAGGAGTTATGGCTAAAAAGTTATTTTACATTGGTTTCCTTCTTTTTCTTCCTATGTTAAAATAAAAGTTAAACAATATAAATAGACTCCTGAATCTAAAACTAAGAAAGCATAACTTCCATGTCTGCCCACTATCCTAAATAAAACTACCTTCAAAATACAACGTGACCAAACTAATCAGATAAACCAAATAAAACATAATTTACTATAGTAAAATATAATAGTAAACATATTTTTACTAATACTGGCCTAACACAGATCCACTTTGTTAAACCATCAGGTAGTTAGCTTCAAACTAAATTCCATCGAGTACAATTCAAGTGTCAGATCCCCCTACGATTACACAATATCATTATTAGTTGTAACTAAATGTAAACTATTTTGCAACACGGTAACATAAGTTTTTCGTTACTTTCCTATTTACACCACTTACCTACTAACACAAAACGCTCAAATACATTTGGAGATGTTATAAATTATAATAGACATGTAATGAGCTCTTGCGCGAGGACTTCTATGTTCAATCCTTGGACTAGGGATTCCTCGCAATTTTAGTCTGTCACACGTGCAACCTACATCTGTCAAAAGAACGGAAAAGAGAAATTTGGTTTAGCACATATGCGCAGTAAAAGTACCCACCACTGTAGTATTTAAAGTCAATTAAATGAGGAAGGTTTAACAAACGAGAAGTGCGCATTATATCAATTGAGATGATACCAATTAGTACAAGAAAAATTACCAGCTTACGTAATTGTAAATGATGCAAATGCCAACACAACATAATCCTTATTCCTCTAGCATGACGAAAACATAGACAAAGATCCCAAACATCACACGCTAACGAAATTTTGCAGACAACTTGAAAACAGAACCAAATAACTGTAGGCTAGTTTACACGTTATGAAGGTGAAAATTAAACTACTAGTTCAGGATTAATGACTGTAACAATGTAGGTAGAAAATGAAGTACTATTTAGGATAAGTGTTTGCAAGAAACAAAAGGAAAATTCCGATTGAATGAAACCGGATGCTTCCAATTGTTATCCAAGACAACCCTGACCAGCCTAATGAAAAGAACCAGAGCAGAGTGAGACGCCTTCAACCGGCCACCAGGTTCATCACGTATAACAGCCTTTGCAATGCACTAAGTAGAGGTAGAACAAGTGAGCGAGTGACTGACTGACTTAGAGGAGAATGTTTAAAAACGTTGTTGCAAATCAAAAGAGTTAGGATTTGTGAAAACAGAAATTTCTGCTTTTAAGCTTGAAAATCAGAAACACCTGAAGCAGCAATTTTCTTGCTTTGAGGTGAATTCCTGAAAACTACTGTTGAGCAGTCGAATAAACAAAGAAAAGGTGAAAAGAAGAAAGCACAACAGTCGCTTGAATTTTCAGTTTGACAAACATTAAGATATAGTATTAAAAAGAAGCTATTCAGTTCTAGCCATCATCTACAATTCGAAATCCGCAAAGTTTGACTAGCTCCAGTCAATTTAAAGTGTGAAGAGAACTGTGGTCATTTCCTTATTTTAAAGTACTAAAAGACTGTTTTCTTTCTCTGCTACTAACATGACAAGTATGAAGCACTTCTTGCAATTTAACATTCAAATGTGATCTTCAGAAATGCTCCCACATAACAGGATTTCTTAAATCATCAACATCTACATCAACATACCCAGTATTCCCAACCAAGTTGGGGTCTGGGGGGTCAGATGTACACAACCCTACCCTTGTAATTATACAAAGATGCTGTTTCCGTTGCGACCCAGGATACAACAGGATTTGTTAAATATAAGAATCATTTTGTTTTTCTTTTTTCACTATTTCTCTAAAAAGTGATCACAAGATAGACCAGAAAGCAGTCAGCATAACACAGTCAGGATACCTCAGATGTAAGAAATTATTTAATTACCAACGCGTGTCGCAAAAATCTATTAAAACAAGACATTTTTTCCTTTAAAAAGGATCAGCCAAAGACATTACCACAGACACTTAACCTGAATTTCCCCTTTTCTGTATGAAAGCTTTCTTATTTTAACCGATAAGACAGGCAATAGGAAATACCCTTACTGCCTTAACAGTTTTGAAAATCATTAAAAGAAACTAGCACATGAGACAAACATGAGAAAAATCTTGATTAAAATGCATTAGGAAAAAGATAATGAATCTTAAACTAAAGTTTCCTCATAAAAAATTTAAAAGGGCAAGTTCTCAATTACCAGTATGTGTTGAACCAATCATCCAGCATTTGGGTGGCAGCTAGATTGGCCTCACTAGCACCCTTCGCTTACCACTTTGGGAGGACCTCTTGCGCTTGCAACTTCCTGAACTGTTATCGCCTTCATATACATTTCTTCCACAGAATATAAGATTTCTTCCCCAGATTTTATTTTCAGCAGGTTTACTGTGGTTTGCCAAATCATTTTCTACAATGCATGCTCTCTGGGAATTCACAGCAGAATCCACCTTATAATTTTTCTCCCTCAATTCCAAAAGCTCTTGCCTGGTAGCAAGCTCAGTTTCTTTCAACACCACAAGTTTTCCCCTCAAATGGATTTCCATAGCTGATCCGGTAAGCTCATCATCCCTTGTCTTCAAGATATTCTCCTTCATATCAAGCTCATTTTTTATTTTCTCCGAGTCTTTCTCTACAGAACAAACACTACTACCCCTCGTCTCCAAGATTTTCACCTGCAAAATAAGCTTGTCTTCCTTTGCCTTCATAAGAATTTCCCTAGAAGCAAGTTCTTTGCTCCATCTCTTTAACCTTAAATCTTCGGAATTGAGCTCATTTTCCTTGCATCCTACTCTTTCCTCTCTACTATCAATCTCAGCTTCCTTTCTCTTCAAATTCTTCTCTTCTGAAAAAAGCCTTTGTTCTCTTCCCTCCAAAATGATCTCCCGCCTCTTCAAATTCTTCTCTTCTGCAAAAAGCCTTTGTTCTCTTCCCTCCAAAACAATTTCCTTTCTCTGCAAATTCTTCTCTTCTGCAAGAAGCCTATGTTCGTTTCCCTCCAAATCGGTGCTCTTTAATTTAAGATCACTTCCTAGTTTCCACAAGCATTGCTCTTTACCCAAAAGCACATTTACTTTTCTCTCGAGCTCTATCTCGCCGGCGTGCAACTTATCTTCCCTTTGCTTCAAGGTTATGATCCTACTATCAAGCTTTTCCTTATTTGACTTAAGCTCATGTTCCTGTCTCCTCAACGTTTTCTCTCTATAATTTAATTTATTTAGCCTCGCATCTAAAACATCCTGATTTAAACTAAGATCATTTTTTCTTACCTTCGAATTGGCTTCCTGTGAATCAATCTCATCTTGCTTCATCTTCAAAACCTTCTCTTTGAGCTCCAGTCCATTTACTCTAATCCCCCCACAATTTTCTCTCTGGAACCGATATCATTTTCTTTTCTCTTCAGTCCATCTTCTGTAGATTCAATTTCACAGAGGCATTCTATCAAGCAGGTTTCGGCTGTCTTCAAACGCACACTCCATGGAGAATATCAGCATCCTTCTCTCGATTCAGCAGCATTGCGTCTGTTAACATTTCTAGCAAAACCCATCTTCCAAAAAAAGGATTTCAACCGTGAGTTTGCTAAAACCAAGTATCGATCTTTTGAACAATTCGGATTATTTGTCTGGGTTTTATCTGTTTTTGTGGGTCGGAAAAAAAGTGATTTTTCTTCTGAAAAGGTTACAGTCGATTGAGTTTCAGCAGATGAGGGTTAATCAGCTAAGGAGAATCGAATAATCTGGTAGTTTCACAGAAATGATTCAGCTGAAGGAAGTGGTCATGAGTTCAGCCTTCAACTGTTTCTTTTCCGAGTTTCCCAGGATTCCTCTGCTCTGTTTATATATATAGTTTATACACTTTATACGTTTATTTATTTATGTATTTATTTATTTTTAGTACAAATACGTTTATATTTACTTTGATTTTTGTTTTCGGTCAGTTGGTTTGACTGATTGGACTAAATATTCTGTGTTTCTTTTTCTTTTTTGTTTTTTTTTTTTTGTAAATTTTAAAATTAGTTTGCATTTTATTATTTTAAGCCAATGTGAGATCATTATTTTTTCAACCGAAGTTACCAATCTGTGTTGGGAATCAATTGTGTTGTTATCCATGATTAAGGTTTATTTATTACTTCATGATTGTCATGTCCGGCATGCAGTTGTTCACTTCGTAGAACTATTCCAAATTTTTTTGAATTAAAATCAAGCATTTAACGAATTAAGCATTGTTTGATTTCATTAAAATCTCACAATATAGTAAATCATAATGATTATAGTTACATTTACACATTGTTTTGCAATTATTACAACATTATCTAACACAAACAAAAGTGCTTTTACTAGGTCTTCAATCTTCGGACTAGCAACTCAGCAACTTTAGTCCACTGGTAGCAATCGCTTGCACCTATGTTTATCAATGAAGAGGGGGAAAATGGTAAGGACATATGTTAAGTTTAACAAACAAGAGATGCACATGTTTCAAATTGAAATGACGCCAATTAACATAAGGAAAAAAACATCAATCTTAGGACTGTGTTGGTGACTAAGATGGTTTATAGGTAAGATTCTTGAAAAACAAATCACAGACGAGTATGATATGAATGCTAAACAAGTATTGACAGCCATTCCCCAATCTGTTTGTTGGTGACTATATATGAGCACCCTTTTGGCAGTTTTGTAGAACAGTTGTTTTTACTCTTTTCAGGGCCACAAAAATGTGCAGCTTAAAAGTGAGATTGTAAATGATGTGAAATGTCTAACACAGGATACTTTCAGATTCCTCTTAGTCTCAATAAACATGTGCAAAGAGCTGAAGATTCTCATGATGACGAAATTCTGCAGACAACTTGAAAACTGATCTGAAGGCTAGTTAACTACTTATAGAGGTTGAAACTGAACTATGAGTTCTGGATCATTGATGTTCTGATGGGGACAAGGAATGGTAGGAAAATCCAATCAGTTGGTTCTTCCATATTTATGCCCAGGATCATCATGATCCGAGGAAACCAAAGTATGAGACCTTTGATTAGCTTAATCACTGGTACTTATAATATGCAGGAATTTATATAGTTATCCTAGAATAAGGGTACTTCAGTAATTCTGTTAGGTTGCAGAATTTTCTGCAGTACTGGTTCCCTATTACTGGGATTTTGTTTAATTTCCTTATGGATTAAGTTTTAAGTCGTCAAAAGAAATTTAGTTTTAGGAACCTAATATTTAATTATTTATTTGCTGCTGGTTTAGGCCTATATATATGTACCTCGGTTGAGGGTTTTAGACAGTTATCAGATTAGTCTGCGATGTGACGTCAAAGGGCCCTAAGAATGATTAATTCTTAGGTTTTCTTCTCTTTTCTTACCCTTTATCTCTCTTTCCCTGCGATTTCTAAGCTTTTTCCCTACAAATTCTTTTAGTTTCCGCTGCATACTACTCTTTAATTAGCCTACATCTTGATTTTCTTAAGCATCACGTGCTGCGTCAATTTGGTATCTGAGCCGAATTTCCTGAGATTTTAATTATTTTTTTATCATATTAGAATTGATTTTCCTGATGAATTCTGTTTCCAAAAGGGTTTAGAGATCAACAGTTGTGAATCCCTATAGCATAGGTTATCCTAATTTGCCTTTTAGTTCAGAAATCGTTGAGGAAGATGAGCAGGGGTATGATGATGAAGAGGAGATGGGCATGTTTGATACTGACGAGTTGGAAGAGGTAGAAGATGATGCTGATATGTCCTATCTTTCACTAATAACGAATTTTTAGAGCACCAAAAAGAGGAGAGGGAAATTGGAGGAGGACAGAAATCTTTCAGACATTGGTTTATTGTGGAAAAATTGTTAAGAAAGTGATTATAGATGGTGGTAGTAGTGCGAATTTGGTTTATAAATCCACTATGGAAAGGCTGAATTTAAAAACAGAACTACATTTATACCCACATAAGGTTGGTTGGATTAATGGCACAACTATTTCTGTTATTAAGTGTTGCTTCGTAAACATCAAAAGAGGGAGGTATGTTGATTCTATATGATGTGATGTTATTCCCATGACTGTTTCACATATAATCTTAGGAAGATCTTGGTTATATGATCGGGAAGTAAAGAATGATGGTTAAGCCAACACATACTCCTTTAACTTCAACAACATAAAAGTTGTTTTGAAGCTCCAAACTGATGAATATATGATGAAGCATTCCTTACCTAAGCAAAAAAGTGATCAAGTGGTTCCTGAGGTTTCAGCAACAGTTAGTGACCAGAATGTTTTTAAGGAGCAAGGCTGTGTTCAGATTCAAAATTTTGAAGAGCAACCTTTAGTGGAATCTAATCCCCTTGTTCATGAAGTTCCTGAATTTTCAGAAGTTAAGGTTGAAGCTCCTGTTGTTGAAATATCTGCAGAGCATGTAATGGTGAATTCCATTAGAGTGAATGCTGCTCATACAGGTCAAGAAAATATTTCTATGGACCTTGATGTTCAGAATTCCAAAGAGCCATACAAAGAAGAAACTGAGACTGATTTGATAGGATCTTCCGCATTTCAGAAAATTCAGAAATCTAAGCTTAACGAGGACACTGATAAACCTATGATTCATGTTGCTCAAAAAATTCCAAAGGAGATTGTAATGGCACATTCAAAGATTCAGAGTGCTACATTGAAGTTCTTTGAAACCCATATAGTTCCAGGAAGCAATCTGACGGATCATACTAGTAAAGGGACTAAGGTCAATGAAAGCACAGAACCAACAGAGACTTGCAAACTGTGTGAGTCTGATGAGAAGCAAACTCTAGTACTTCTTCAGAACCTTGCTAAATTTCAAGATCAAGGGAATGAAACTTTTCTGGTGAGAAAATTTCTAGACACCAGACTCGAAAACGTGTTCACTCTTGTAAAGTAGTTGACATGATGATTGAAATTTCTGCAATAAGAGATTTTATGGGGACAAATTGCATGAAGCCCGACAAATTTTTCAGACCTAGTCAAGTGAAGGTTTATGATCCTGGTATTCCACACATTGATTTTGTTCTTGGAGAGGATTATGACAACAAATGAGCAAACAGATTTCAGATGTCTATTCTTATTCCTACATTTCGGCGAAGGAAATTCATTCTCATTGAACATGCTGCAATGTCATGTCTTATATTTCAGATTGTCTGGTTCTTCATTCTCAGACATTTTAGAACTTGAGGACAAGTTTTTTTGAACCAGAGGAGAATGATGGGACAAGGAATGGTAGAAGAACCCTATCTATAGGTTTTTCCATATTTTATGTCCAGGATCATCATGATCCGAGGAAACCAAAGTATGAGACCTTTGGTTAGTTTAATCACTAGTACTTGCAATATGCAAGAATTTATTTAGCTATTCTAGAATAAGGATACTTTAGTAATTCTGTTAGGTTGCATGATTTTTCTGCAGTACTGGTTCCCTATTATTGGTATTTAGTTTATTTTCCTTATGGATTAAGTTTTAGGTCGTCAAAAGAAATTTAGTTTTAAGAAGCTTCTAATTACCTATTTACTGCTGATTTGAGGGTTTTATACAGTTATCAGATTAATAAAAATTCCTACAATAAACTTTGCTTTGCAATAATTGATTGACTCAACTAAACCTTTGGTGTGATGCCTAGGATTCCTACGGTGTGACGCCAAAGGGCCCTAAGAGTGATTAATTCTTAGATTTTCTTCTCTTTTCTTACCCTTTATCTTTGTTTTCTTGCGATTTCTAAGTTTTTCCCCTACAGATTCTTTTTGTTTTTATTGCATACTACTCTTTAATTAGCCTACATTCTGATTTTCTTAACCACCACGTTTGGTGTTGCGTCATGTTTGCAACAAACAAAACGAATTCAAATGGGAGGAATTCTTGCGATTCACCTGACAATCTAGGCTGGCCTATTTAAAGAAGAAGAACAGAGTGACCCTTCGGGTTTATCACTTAAACCAGTCTTTGCATACACTGAGAGTAGAAGGTACAAGAAGTATGTGTGTTGAGTGAGTGAGTGAGTGAGTGAAGGGAGAATGTTTGAAACATCTGATGGAAAATGGAAATCAACAGAATTAAGGCTCTGTGAAATGGACAAACCAACAAGAGTTATCTTTCATTTCTACTTTTTTTTGTAAGGAAATCATACACAACAACGGAAGCAAAGCTCTCGGTTTTGAGATGAATTTCCGAAAACTACCAGTAAGAAAACACTACTAGTAGAAAAGAGCAATATAAAGATAAGTGCATAAAGAAGAAACTTCCACATGCATTCACGGGTCATCTTGACAAAGACTATGATATGGTTTCAACGGAAGCTATTCAGTTCTACTCATCGCCTATATTCTAAAATTCATGAAGTTTGACGCAGCTCCATTTGGTTAAATAGTGAAGAGTCCACTGGAAATTCTTTTGAAGTGCCAAAAGAGAAAAGACCTTCCCTTTTTCTTCTACTAACATGACAATAATGAAGCACATTTTGCATTTCAGCATATGATCAGTTCAAATACTTCCACATTTGAAAAAGACTTAAAATGATGAGAATAATTTTCAATTTCTATCCTTTCCCTAATCAGTGAACCATGAGAAAGACCAAATATCAGACTCAGGATACCAAGTTTGCATCAAGGGTACTGAAGATGGAAGACACGTTCATTAATTGTCAGCAAATACCACAAAGATCAATCAAGAACATTACTATAGCCACGTTCAAAGAGAGATTACATTTTGTTATGAAATCCACACGTATTGAAAATCATCAACAATTAGCACACGTGAAGAATGTAATACAAACAAAGTGCGAAGGAAAAACTCGAAAATCTAGATGGCACTTGGTGAATCTGAAATTGAAGTTTCATCATCAATTTAATTTGTAAATGGACCAAAACTTTAAATGGAGAAGTTGTGAATTTACCAAAAAGTTCTGGAACTGATTAATCATCCCCCTGCGGGTGGCAGAAGACCTAGACCAGCCTCTCTGGTGGCTTTCCCTTACTATCCCGGGAGGACTTTCTTCTTTTGCAACTTTGTGTATTGTTGGTGCTTTCAGGTAGATCTCTTCCGCTGATTTTCTTTCTTAATCCATCAGATTCACAGTGGTTTGTTAAATCTAACCCTACCATGGATGCTTCCTCGGATTTTACATCAAATTCCAACTTACGATTTTTCTCCCTCCATTCCAATAGCTCTTCCCTAGCTTGAAGCCGTTCCTCTTTGCTAAATAACTCCTTTTCCTTCAAACTTAAAACCTTTCCCCTAAGCTCATTTTCCCTAGTTAAACTAGCCAATTTCTCATCTTTCTCCTCCAGATCTTTTGCCCTTTTCTCCAACTCTACCGGCATCTTTTCACCAATCTTTTGCATTTCCTTCAACTGTTTTCTTTCAAAATCGATCTTCAGCGAAAGCTCTGACATCAACCTCTCTTGTTCATTCCATTTCTCCTCCCTAGCCATAGCATCCTTCAAAATCAAATCGGCTTCCTTCCTTTTCATTTCCATTTCTTGAAGCCCTTTCTCATAGTACTTTATTACCTCTCTCTCTCGACTATCAAGTTGTTGCATACCAAGCACACAAGATTCTTGTTTTTCTACCAGTTCCTTCTCTTTCTCCTGAACATCGCCAGTCCTTTTCAGCAATTGGACCAACTCTACCAATACTTCTTCATCAATCTTTTCTTTCAGTTCCTGCAACTGTTTCCCTTCAGACTCAATCTTCTCCGAATGCTCTAAAATCAGCCTCCCTTGGTGATCCATTTTCTCTTCCCTCACCAAAGCATTCTCCACAATCGAATCAACTTCCTTCTTTTTCATTTCAATTTCTTGAAGCCCTTTCTCAAAGTACTCTAATAATTCTCTTTCCCGGCTATCAAGTTGTTGTATCCGAAGCACATATGATTCTTGTTGTTCCAACAATTCCTTCTCTTTCCCTTCCAATATTCTTTGTCTGGAATCAAGCTCACCTTCCCTATCGTTCAATATTTCCACTCTCAAATCAAGCTGAGTTTCCCTTCTCTCAAGCTCATCCTTACTTGCAGAAAGGGCATTTTCCAATATCCTCAACATTTTCTCTTGGGAACCAAGCTCATCACCCCTTTTCTCCAGAAGTTGTTTTTCAGAAGTAAGCTCATCATCCCTTTTCTTCAAACTATTATCCCTTAAATCAAGCTCTTTTTTCATACTCTCCAAGTCTTTCTCTAAAGACAAAAGCTCATTGTTCCAGGTCTCTAAAATTTTCACTTCTGAAATAACTTTCTCTTCCCTTGTGTTTACTTCAATTTCCAACGATTTAAGATCATTGTTCCATTCCTCCAAAATCTTCTCCCTGGAATCCTGACTCGATTCCTTGTCACCTACTGTCTTCTCTCTGGAAACAATATCATTTTCCCTTCTATCCAACGCATTCACCTTTTCCATTAACTCATCTTTCATTGTCTGGAGAAAAGTTTCCTTTAATTTCAATTCAATTTCCCGTTTCTCCAAACTTTCCATTGAAGAAGACAGCCCAATCTTCATTCTTTCCAAACCTTCTTCGAGGGATCTTAGTTCATTTGCTTTCCTATCCAGAGAACCCACAAGATGCTCCTGTCTTTGACCAATATCTTTAAGCTTTTCATCTAGTGACTCATGAATTTTCCCAGCAAACTCCCTAATCTCCATCTTTGCCTTCTCCACTGCCCCATTCAACAATCTTTCTTTCTCCTCCAATTTTTTAGTCTCTCTTTCAATCCTTACTTTCTTGCACTTAAAATCTTCCAAACCAAGGCGTATGGATTCTTCAGCCAACTTAATCCCCTCTTCTCTGGTATCTAGCTCACTGAAACATTCGTTCAAGCAGGTCTTCGCTGATTCTAATTGATCTTCAACATCCTTCCATTCCAGCATCAAAAAATCCATCGAACAACGGAGTGACCCCTTCTTCTCTTCATTCATGGAAATGGCCTCTGACAATTTCTCCAGAGAACCCATTTCTTTAAAACAACAAATCTGCCTTCAATTTTCAAAACAAGCGTCAATCTTGGAAAGAATGAACTGGTTTTTTTTTCTGGTTTTTTAGGTCAGTTTTGGAGGGGGTGAAATACTTTCTTCAATGATGGTTGGAAAGTATACTAGAAATGGAGAGGTTGATTACATGAGGCTCATTGATAGCTCCGATTATTAAGTGTTTGTATCAGCAATGGTTCCACTAAGGGGGGAAATAATTTTTGTCCAGAAGTAGCAATCATGCTCTTTGAGTCCTTCTTGGACGATCGAATTATTCAGGAGAAAACATTGTACCACAGAAAAAAGAATTATTTTGGGAAGCAAAAATTAAAAGATTTGTACGAGTTACGAGATACTGTTGTGACTCGAGTAGCCATATCAGTTTTTTCACTCGTCACTCAACCTTTTTTTTTCGGGTCAAACTGTAATTATTTTTCACTTTTTTATCAGGTGGTTTAAGTTTGATTAAAACATTATTTTTTTGACATTTGAAATTTAATATTTTACTTTTAAAAAATGATAACAATTGATTTCTATATTGTTAATACTACGTCTTTAATAAGATATACGTGGAACTAATAGAGAAAAATATATTTTAATAACCGTTGATCAATAAGGAATACTTAAACTGAACGAATTAAAATATCAAACAGACATATTAGATTCAGACAATCTAATTAATAGAATTTGTAATACCATAATTAATTAACAACACTTTGAAATTATTGTAGACTAACGTCACCAACTAAATGCAATAGATCATATCTTTTATAAACTCACGTATTAGATTCAGACAATCTAATTAATAGAATTTGTAATACCATAATTAATGAATGACACTTTGAAATTATTGTAGACTAACGTCACCAACTAAATGCAATAGATCATATCTTGTATATTATAGTCAAAACTTAAAAATAATAAATGAACCATTTGGTGTATTTGATTCAGGTTGCCAGTTGCTACTATGCGTAATCATGGGGATGGTGATGTAATTCAATCTCACAGGTCAATAGTTTATGTAGATCTTTTATTTATAAAGAGAAGTTTAATTCTTAAATTAGTGGTAACATTGTGAGCAATGATATCATTATTGTTTCTAAAAAAAAAGGGATATTATCAGTGCCATCTCGAGGCTTAATAAGGCTTAAACCCTGAAAAAACAGGATATTATCAGTAATCGAATTTATCGGATTTACATATATATTTTTAGCAATCAAATTTACCCATAAATACAAATTTTGATTCCTAACCACCAAGCAAATATACTAACATTATATCATTTTTATTAGTGCATTGGCACTAAATATTCAAAATTGAAATGGTATTGAGATTATATTACTAAGTGTATAGATTCAGATAACTATCATTGAAGATATATTTGGAAGTTTACAAAAATTTTAACATAAAAGTAGTTGAGAAATATAATTTGGAACACTTTGGTAACAATTATTTGTAATGAGAAGAGGATGTTTATGACATATATTACCATTCTTTAATAAATAAATTACTAATTGATATTTTCCTAAAAAAGAAAAAAAAACAATATGTAAAAAGAAATGGGGCCTTGATAATATGGGGGCTTAAAGTTAGCGCTTTAGGAGCTTCCCCTAAAGCCGGCCCTGGATATCATGATGTACTTTATTTGGCGAAAGAACGAGTTAGAAATTATGATATGTGTATTCACACACACATATACATACATACATATATATATATATGTAGCTATTTAAGTGAATTATGATTCGTTTATCACAATGTTTTAGGGGATAGTTAGAAAAAAGATGAGCAAGATAGTATCAAATAGGATAAATAATCTTTAAATAGTGTTTTGTGACTTAGTTGTGTTATATTGGATAATGTTAACTAGAGACAGATTGTTAAATGCAATATAACATTACATATGACTAATGTGGACTGTTTGCATTATACAAAACATCTTTCTGATCAATGTAAGTTTGTTTATGAAGTATGGATTTGAATGAGAAATATGGCTGAAACACGGAATAAATCATTTGTTCAATACCTGAAGGGGAAATTAGGACAAATTAGTGATTTCTGAAAATGTTCAATGGGGAAACAATAATTTCCCATTTGATGGGATAATAACGTGTATTTGTCATATCATATAATAAATGAATAAGTGGAAGAACATGAATTTGGTCCCAATTCAGAAAATCTATTATGGGAAATTCTGTTATGGGCTATAACATGTATAAAAATAAGGATTGCCGGATTCCCTTGTATCATTTGCTCATTATATTACCACACTGGCCCTCGCCATACATTGATGCATGAAGTTAAAGTTTACAGCCTTAAATCGATTTCTCGGAAGAGGTTTTCGCTGGGAAATTGTTCTTCACCTCAAATGGTGATGAACGCCAACTACTCTGCTCAACATATGGGGCATGGTTTATAGATCATAGAGAAGAAGAACTACTACAGTATTGGCCTAATGTCCTTCAAACTTGTAAGTATTTTCTCGTTCCAAACCCTAGTGATGATGCTAAGGTTCCTGTATCATGGAATCATAGACAGAACTGGTCATTTGTGTATAGTGAGGGAATATGGTGAGGTACAAGGTTCTCGGATGATGAAATCGTATAAGTTCATTGTGAATACATCAGGTTGGAAAAAGGATTAAAAACTCAATAGGAAAGCTACTTGTTGTGGGTGACTATGGATGCATGTTGTCCAACATCGACATGGATAACAAGAAACAGAGCTTCTTTGACATTACTGAAATAGTATTACATTTATTCACAAAGGATGTAAAGTTGTTGATAGCCTTGTTAAACCTTGGCCGCCTTGTCTCGATGTCCCTAGTCCCAAAAAAAATGAGAGAAGAAAAATCTGGAGAAGATCAAATAGAGATTCACCCCCCAAACAGGGAGAATGCAAGAAAAAGTAAATATCAAGACCTGGTGATTTAGAGGACCTTCCAATCTTGGATATTTGATCACCCCCAGCAATTCCCCTTATGTCTTCATCATAATTGGTGCCTTTTCAATTACACCAGGCTTTCTTTTCATATCAGTGGAACCTTTAATTTGATAGCATAAAAGATTGACTGTCGAAACCGAGAATTTTCTGTAGTTTGTGTTTTCAAATATTCACAATAGTATCACACTCCAATTGATGATATGATGATTGTGCACAATAATGGAAGTGTTGATTATCAATATTGTTCTATGATTAGTTAATTAAGTTCTCATCTTTCATTGTTAATGATGCAAAGATAGTAAATGCATTATTAGGTAAAAGTTAGCTATCATGTTGGTGGCCTTTTTGCCAATAATGAAAAGATATAGTTGTTTTTAATCTTTTTTCATGAAGCTTATAGAACTTGTAGGTGATGTGGATGCCAACACCAGACTCTATTTACTAGCCATTCCTCTCTAGCCAGAAGAAACAGAGTCAGAGAGCTTGCTAATTTGAGAACAGAACCAAATATCTAGAGACTTTACTTAACTACTACATATGGAGGTAGAAACTAAACAAGTTCATTCAGGGAAATGGCCTCTGATAATTTCTCCAGAGAACCCATTTCTTCAAAACAACAAATCTGCCGTCAATTTTCAAAACAAGTGTCGATCTTGGAAAAGATGAACTGGGTTTTTCTGGTTTCTTAGAGCTGTTTTGGAGGGGATGAAAAAATTTACTTTCTTTGAAGCCTAAACTCAAAAATGCCCATTTTTGAAATGATGGTTGGGAAGTATACTAGATATGAAGAGCTTGATCACATGAGGGTTATTGATAGCAACCATTATTGAAAGGTTGTATCAGTGATGATTCCACTGAAGGGGAAATAATTTGCGTCCAGAAGTAGTCATGCTCTTTGAGTTCCTTTTGTAGATTGAATTATTCAGGGGAAAACATTGTACTACCAAAGAAAAAGGAATTATTGAGGGGAAACAAAAGTTAAAACATTTGTACGAATAACGAAATATTGTTGTGGCTCGATTAGTCATATCTGTTTTTTCACTCATCACTCAACAGTTTCTTTTCGAGTCAAACTATAATTAGTTTTTACTTTATTTGATCAGGTGGTTTGAGTTTGATTAAAACACTAATTTTTGACATTTGAAATTCAAAATTTTACTTTAGAAATTTTTTTTTTTTTGGTAAAACCTGTAAATTGCATTACTGAGAATAAAAAAACATTTAAGTACAAGATTCCTACCAAAATTGCTATATTTATCACACATTTACACATTGCACTCCCCTTCTGGAAAATAAAAATAGACAGCAAGTTGAATTCCGTCTCCTTTAGCCCATATTACAGCAAACTTTGGATAATGCCTTGTTCTTTTTCTGACAACTTCCTCTTGAGACAATTTTGTATCCTGATCCTGATCGCCCTTTGCACCTCTTGAAACATCAACTCTGTATTCCTTCTTTCCTTTCTGAATGTTCTTCCGTTTCTCTCCTACCAGATTATATAAATACTGGCCATCACAACAGCATACAGAATCTGTTTTTTCAGCTTAATTCTGCTCCATTTGTGCAAAAGTTCATTCTACCATCTTCCTGCCTGCGTTGACAATCTAGTCTATCCAAACCATCTCTGAACCATCCCAAGCAACTCATTAGCCATCTTGCATTTGAAGAACATGTGGTCGATGGATTTTAACTGTTCTTCATATAAGCAACATACTGGATCCTCCACATGAACATTAACCTAAGCAAGACGATCCTTAGTCCAAATCCTTCCTTTCAAGACCAACCAAGCAATGAAAGAATGTTTGGGCACATTAAGTTTAGACCAAATGATCTTTGCAGCAGGCATTCTATTTCCTTCTCCCTACAACCATTGGTATCCAGATTTCATTGTGTATAGTCCCTTGCTGTTGCCTTTCCAAACCTCACCATCAAACCCATCCCTTGCTCTGTCTCTTAATTTAAGTATCTGTTTCCATGACCAGCTGTCATCTTTTTTTAAAAAAAATAAATAGGAGGTTAGAAAGGAGTTCGAGTTCTAACTGACTCAAAAACACTCAAGGGGTCTATCCAAAAGATGAATTTTTGAATCAATTATAACCAAATGATATAATGCACCCAGGGGGTCTACCCGAAGGATGGACATATACATCATTCAGTTCCTCAGCTTCCTCCCTACCTCTTTTTTGTTAATTTTCCATTAAATAAAAGAGTCTGGAAGTGCTTAAGACTTGCCATATTACAAAGCTATTTGAGTCTAACTCGTACATATGGAAATGAAATTTGATCTAAACGAACTAGACCAC